CTTCAACATTTCGATCTCATTCAAGATCACCTGATCCTCCTTACCCTGAACCCAATGGTCTTTGATGATGAATTCCTTATCATCCAAAGAGACCAAGTAGCAGACAGTTCCGCGACTAACAAGGCCGCGACTCGCAAACAGGATCCTTGTGATTGTGTAGATCGTGTCCCTGACACGAATTTTGCCACACGGTTCAGGTGACTGAGCTGAATACGGGAATTGTGAAGGATGGGGTGTAGCAGAATAGATACTGTCAGGCTCCTCAGGCGCTTGGGATGCGAGGTTGAGAAGGGGGGCGCTGGAGATGGCAGTGGCTTGTACCAGGTGGGGATCCTCCAGATTCTTCATAGAAACGTGCATACCATCGTCAGCATGCGGCTCTGACTCGGACTCGGACTCGGACTCTGGCTCTGGCTCTGGCTCTAGCTCTGGCTCTGGCTCTGGCTCGGACTCGGGCTCTGAGTCGGGATATATCGTCTCGATGACAGCGCTTGGTGCACCCTCAACATCACCGGGTGGTGGATAAGGGAGCTCAGACGTGGCTGCAGCCATGACGTGATCTGCAGGTTGCCGTTTGGCAGGGAGGTTCTTGATCGGACGATAGTTATTGGCATGGCGTTGGGGAGGAGAAATGTGTCTTGTGAAGGAGACTGTCAAGTCATAGCCTATGCACTCGAGGCTGCCGAAACGAAGGGCAGCAATAATGTGAGCAACAATGCTTGGTTTTCGGTAGATATTGAAGGCAGGGGACACGACACCACCGGCATGATCGTAGAAAAGGACTCTGAGCTCCCGGTACTCGTTGGTGAGTGATAGTACAAGCGCAAAGCGCCTCCAAGGCTGCTCGCTCAGCATGAGATATGCATGACTATCAGCAGCTTTCACGAGTCGCAACGCAGGTTGATATGAACTGTGCGTCAGCTCAGCCGATACCCTGATATTCCCCCAATTTGCTGTGATCTCGTCTGACAAGAGGAGATCGGGTTTCCGCTTCACCTCACTACCAGGTAATGCTTTATGTGCGTGGGCCGCAGTCCACGTGCGCGTCGCAGTGGGGTTGGCTAGTAGTTTGGGCTCTGCCTTCGCTAAGCAGATAGCCAAAGCGTTGAAGAATGATGAGAAAATTTCTTCGTGAGTTGCTTTTGCGGTTTCGCCGGTCCCTGCATTGCCCTCCGAATCTAAGCTTTCAGGTGGTTGAGAGTGAGTTGTTGATTCAGATTCGTTTGTGGGAGCAAGAGTTGGAAGGTCCCAGTTCCATAGCTGCGCATCAGTATCGTACAATGGCACCAGGTCATCTGGTGAATTTTTGCTGAATTTTGCTTTGGTACGTTCGTTGTGATAAAGGATGTTTTTGAGTGGGATCTGGAGCGTAGATAGATCCGGTAGAGGTATGCTGAAAGGCTGAAAGATATGAGAGAGCATGTGTCCTAGCGATTGCGAATTAGAGGGTTCATCTTCCTGCGTAACTAGACGATTTAGTTCCTCGGCCGTGTACTTGTTCATTGTAAGGGCATCGCCTGAAACAGCGGCAGGGAGCGAGACCAATGACGACAACTTTATTCCGTAGCCGCCCGTCCTGAAAAAGAACTGAGGTGGCATTTGTTCGGTATACTCTAAGCTATAATATGACAACGGTGGGAGCAACAAGATGCCCTTATCGCACGGCGTCACTACATCCATCAATGCTCGTTGAACTAAGAATATATCAGAAAGAAGCTCATTGACAACCAATAGCACAAAAGTTAAAAATACAGGCAGGAAGCTACATAGAGAGCGGAAAGAATGTGTTCTTGTCCCAAAATTTATTTACCCAAAACTCTGACGCGTGCTCCATGCTGTTCTGTGAGGTAAAACGGCTGTCTGCACTGGCTCCAAAGCGAGGAATGAGATTAACAGGAGCCTTGATCTGCGTCAGTGGTATAATATCACCCACTAATGTACCGTTGGAACGTTTCGCCCTTCTGATCGAGTGCAACTGTGTGGCAGGATCACGAGCGCTTGTTGTACCATCAAACCGGTACATATAGACAAGGAAACGGTCCTCCCATGACCAATCCGTGTTGATTCTTCCAACTGGACGCATGATAAGTCTAATTTGACCAATTGTGTGACCTGAAAGATAACAGTGAGAATGTATTCAGCATGATAGAAGGTTGTAACATACCACGAAGACCATGAGCAGGCCAAAGGCACCCTGACTCGTTGTTCACAATAGCTGAGTTGTACCTACCAGAGTTCCAGACATCAGAAGGCGGCACACAATTCAGGGTCTGCGCGGGCCGTATGATGCTACTGTCGTGAAACTCTGTGTCCTGTAGGCGAAGTTTGAACCAGATTTGAATTTTATCAAATGGCAGGGAAGCAGTAGGTCCAGCCCTCCTGGCTCCCCCAATTGTGTGGACATAATTCTGTCCGTGGGTAGCTTCGCGACGAAGAAAATCAGCAATGGCCAGCCGTAAGTCAGGAAGGCCGAATTTGATAGCAGCATCGTTGATGGAGATGGATCTGATGGATGGGGAATATGTGAGATGATAGGCCGTGCGTCCGATGACGAATGTGCGCAATGGCAGAGGGACAGTCCCAACCTCCTTATGCTGGAGGATCTTCGCAATCGCAAAGTAATTGGTGATTGGGCGCGAATGTCCAGGACATTTTATAGTGGCCGTAAATTCCGTGGGGAGGTCATCATCATCATCCGCATCAAAGTCAACATCATCACCAATATTGTCATCCTGTAGCCTCGAGCTTGCCATACCATCCACGAGACTCATTGCAAGGTCAAAGCGACGGCACTTATCAACCCGGTCGAGATGTCGACAAATTTGAGGATCATAGTTGTTGTTGTTGCTTGATCGCGCGGGGTCTTTAATCTCTGTAATGTGTGCATGCTCTGTTGTGTCTGCAGTCCATTGCATGGCGACACCAGTGTTGCGGATGCTGGGAACTATACTCTGCATGAGCTCCAATTTTGGAATGTACCAGTTATCGATAACTTTGTTCTTGTTGCCTCGACGAAATCCTCCAGCTGTGATAGCGTGTTTATTGGCGTGAAATTCATCGAGGGCTCCAGAAATGCGCTTGATGTCGTCTTCATCAATACGTGGTGACTGGATGAGATACCGAAATTCCATCAATGCTCGGACAGCAGTGATCACAGCACTAGGTGCTGCGTCCGCACTGACTGCAACGATCGAACGCTGAATGTCACGTTGAGTTCGACCTGTAACCTGTTTTAGCTTGGAGATACCACCGTAAAAATGACAAAAGCCAGTGACGGGCTGCAACACAGAAAACCGGAAATCAATTTCCATATCCCCGACCGCACAAATCATCCACTTGACGTCGTGATCGTAGAATTCTCGGTGAATGAGATGCAGAAATTCTGGAGTGAGGAAATGAGACGGTTCACCAAGGGTCCAGTCCTGCCAGAAAGGTTTAGAGACACCGTTCAGGCGAAATTTCTGCGCTTCGCGAAAGAAGGCTTCAATATCGTTGGGATCTGCCCTTGTTTGAACGACAGCCAGCTGTGCAAGTGTGGTTGATTTCGTGCGAGGTTCATGACGGAAAGGGTCTCCGAACTGCTTGAACATGGCCATGGTGACCGGAGATGTTTTCCCACCGACAGTAGCTAGCATCATAGCCTCTGGAGTGTTGACAATATAGCTTGCCAGGGGGGTAAAACAATAGCGGCTATGTCCAACAGGGTCTGATAACATGACTCCTTCACGTGCAGCCTGCTTGAGTGGACGCAGGACGATATCTAAACATTCATGAATTAAGCGATCCTCGAGTACACCTCGCATGCGTTTATTCTTATGTATAAATTTAGGTACGGGGAGCAAGGCGGTGAGTACAAAGGAGTTGGACGATGTCTTGAGTCGTGTGGACATGTTGATATTCGCAAGGCTGACGAGAAGCGGGTGTGCAACTCTGTCACCCGTCATCGTGGATATATTCGTTTTGTCGGATGATAGAATGGTTCCAAGGAGTGTTGCGCCTTTGGGTAGGGCAGACTGTTGAGAAACCATTAAGTTCAGCGACTGGTGCAAAACATGAATATATACCTGCATATTCCATGCGTCATCGCCTGTCATCCATTCTGAATATACACGACACAAGCGTTGTGCAGTAGTATAGACCCTGCGAGGCGTGAAGTCTAACCGATCGTGAAAAAAGGGATGATTCAGAATGGCTGAAATACAGTCCAAGGGATCACGCCAGTACAAAACGACGGGTGATTTGGTGGGATGACTCGTAGAGAGCACTTGGGACATCCAGCGTGGACCACTGGGCAACATTTCTGCTCTGCCTCGCAGTTCCTTGGCCGAGGAAAAAGATATTGGAAGACCCTTAATCTTGACAAAAGACTTATCATCGGAATTGTAATGAAAATGAAACAATTTGCTTACTATGTCGAGTGATAAAAAACTGTCTATCTTCCCCATGCTCAATCCTGAGCGCAGTAACCACGATGCAATCTCCCAATCCTTCCGGCCACTGAATGGGTAATAGGGATTCTTGGCACGGTACACACTATTCTCATCAGAATTGAATAAGTCGAGGAAGGTGTACCCCATGCCATACGTCCGAGAAGATTCGGGATATTGGTCGACGAAATCTGAGGCACCATTCGGAAGTAATCCCTCCTCAGAGGCCTGGCCACCACTCTCACCGCTACCTTCAAATGACTCGTCTCTATCTCCGAATGTGAACTCAACCTCAGCCTGAGGCCCACCACCGGGAATATTCGGTCCGTCCAAGTCATCTGTATTCATAGAATCGTCAGATAGGTCCCGCAGACGTATTAAATCCTGTAGCCAGGTGCTACATCCTGAGCGAGGCTGGCTCATGTGACGAGCAACAGCAACCTGATCTCTGAAACTGGCTTTACCGCATGAAGGACACTGGAAATTGGACATGATGGTCCTCGCAAAGTCCGACACTCGTGAGTCGTGAGAAGCCCAATTCATAATCAACAACTTACTCTTTGTTTCTCTGAAATGTCAGCCCCACCAATCAGTCTTAATCTCAGCAATGATATCCCATCATCATCTTCGCGCCTGATGCCTTGTACGCGCACACACTCTGTTCAGCAATGTCCAAGTTGTCACTCGTGTCGTCACGATTCCAGCGGTATTTCTGACCTGTACGATATAGCCGATGGTATCAGGTCAATGGTAAGTCAATCATATTGTATCGCATTCGCTCTAAGTAACATGGTACTTACAGTCAATCAACGACACCGATGAACTTGAAGCCAACCTCGTCATGGACCTAGCGAGGGCGAGGCGGGATGTATTTAGGGCGGAGAAGGTGCTAGCGGATTGTGTAGTGCGAGAACGCGAAATCATGGCGAATCTTTCTAAGCACCAGTCCGACGTTTCGAAGAAAAAGCTCGACAAAGCAGATATAGGATTAGGGTATATGCGAATTACTTTTCAAAAATACGGTCTTTCTCACCGTTCACTTGCGCCATGCAGTTTGCAAGGTAAGTCATATCTGTTCACATTCGCCACTGCAAACTTCATGTCTTATCACAGAACAATCCAACCGTCGTGTATCAGTAATTTTAGACTGATGACTCGAGCTATTCTTATTCTTTTGTGTTCAAGTTCGGCGCGCGCATTAGTAGTACTAGTATGTACAGTACTACTACTATATATTGGTATTTCGTTGAATATAATGTTTGTATCGTAATTGGGGACAATGTGCAAATTCAAGCTAGCAATTAAAAGGAAGTTCCGAGCCTGCTACTACTAAGTACTAAGTACTAAGTACTAGTACTACTAGTAGACTTCAACACTTTAAAAAGATTGAGGCCGTTGAGCTGGAAACCATTGAATTTATTTTGAACAGTCTGACCCGGTTGTGAGCTCTGTGACCACTTTGGCGTCTGGGGCTGTACGTTCTGTGAGCTCTGTCGCCACTTTGGGTGGCTGTGGGAAACTGTCGAAAATTACCATATCTGTGAAGAAATTTCTAGTTTGCAGATGCTCCATGTCCATCACTCCTCCCCCTTCCCTACCTTCTCCTACCTCTGCCCCTACCCCTGCGGATCACGCAGGTGACCTTGGCGCAGACATCGACTCACTCATTGCTGAGTCCGAGCAGATGGATCTTGAAGCGGAGGCTCGCCGCCATGGCTTCTCGGCCGAAGAGCTCTTTGGTAGCGTCTTCCTCCTAGGCCTGTTGACCATTGTTAACATTACCCTCCTCGTCCTCCTAGCAGCAATGGGTACCATGAACATTGAGTCCGCCCCTGCTTCTCTGGCTTAGTAGGCCCCTACAGTTTGTTTTAAGAAGGTCCTCTTTAGATGACCTGGAGGGCGTATGTAGCGTTCCTAAAAAGCCTTCATCGTTACAAGGCAACATCTCCCCATAGTTTCTCTTATTTTCTTTATTATTCCTTACTCTACAGTATATAAGACTCTGATTATCTACTGTTAGAGTAGTTGATCTTTCCCCCACCGAATAACATTTAGTTCGGACAGTTCTCTCGTCTGAATTAAGTCTATTCAACAATCGACTCTACAGTGTGAACGTTTTACAAACGCCACAGTTCTGCACACCTCGGTGATCTCCGCCCGAGTACACGTTTACCCAGTCGTTTGGAGGTTCTGCCTCCCTCTCCATCGGTGCAGGATCGTTCAGATATGGGTGCGAGAACACGAGACACTGTCTAGTCATGTAATCGCAATCACGCACTCCCATTTTTTCACTCTCGACGCACACTACATTCAAAGCCCGCTATGCCGCTCGCGAGTGTCGGAATTCAAGCACAGCTGATTCCTTCAGAAATGCGATTAATGTCTCGAGCTTCTCGCATAGTTGAGAATACCTTGCCAATCTTAAATATGGGACCCTGCATCGAATGGTAAGGGTTCGTCTTCAATAACGCAACTACTTCTGACACGATGGTACCATTGATGTGCAACAGACACGAGCCCCGTTGCATCGTATCTCTCCATTGGCACTGTCGCCTACAGCGCATAGCATCCCAAAAAATGCTCTCTTGCCACTCAGGGTGAACCTTCTGTGACTGTTATCAGCCTATTTCGGGGTGGAATTTGAATGGTGAGCTTTGAAATTATTATCATTCACATCGATGAGTTGCCACAGCTATACGAGTGTTACCAAATGTATGATGGGCTGTGACGACCAGGTTTGGTGAGAATCATTATGTTCCAGAGGGTCGGGCGTCAGCATGTTCTAGAAGGTCGGGCGTCAACATATTCCAGGAAGTCGGTGTCCAATGATATCCTATTGGCGCGCTGGTTCATTGCTTCCGATTATATCTCACAAACAACGTGCTGGCCTGATGTAATCGGCTCCAAGACTTACCGTACGTTGATTTTGTGGGGCTGCCTCAAGGCCAGCATTTCACTATGCTCCTCCCGCTGGCACAGTTCATGTCGCAGCTCCTCTTGGTTTCTCGCGCAATTTCCGGTCAGGTGATGTTCTCTTTCCCCCACTCGCAACGTCTCGGATCTACAACTCGTCCCTTTATTCCCTTCAGAGTGACAAGGGAAGGTACACGGAGATCGGTTATGCAAGGCACTACGGGTTGATGAAACTTCGGTGAAATTGCCTCCAAGGTAGTGTGCGCGCCAGCAGGAGGTACGAGTAAGTTATGAGAATCATGTTATGTCTCGACAGTCCGAGTGGCGATGAAACAAAGTTGGACAACGTACTAGTAAATCATATCTTCTGGTCTGCGATGAAGACGATGTCTTCCTCTGCCCCTGCGCTAGGTCAGGGGCTTCTGTGCATGGTCTATTTCGGAAGCGGCTTTCTGCCAAAAAAAATGAAGCACTAGCTTCCCAGCAACTAGTACAGAGGAGACGTACTTGTGAATCTTTCCAAAGAATCCGTTCGGCTTTGACCCCTTTAGCAAATCTAGGCCTTCGCTACAGTAAGAGAAAATGGCTCGTAAGTGTGCCTCAATAAGGGTAGCGATTCCATCAAGGTTCGAAAAGGATTGAAAATGCCTGCCTTCGATGTACCAATGAACCAGTCACATTTCAATCGGGCGTTACAGGATTCTTGGGTAGGGATGAAGCGATTTCGCCGCCCGCTGGCACCGAGAGATCATGCTGTTGCCAAGAAATTCGGGCAACCTGATATTTTCCCCTGGTTCAAACCTCGGACTCGGACTAGCTGTGGTATTTGGATTGTGACGCCCATGAGCATTGGATTAAGTTCCGTTCTGAACCAACATCTAATTTGCAATTTGTTCCCAAGCAAGGTTTCTGCCGGCGGCATTTCCCGAGTTCGTGGATATTCCAGAATTCACACTGATGCATCGTGAAGATAAGTACTTACAGCCACACTGGATCATCGAATCGAAGTGACTATCCATCGCATTCCACAGAACATGCAACCATCATGCATCGTGCCCGGCTATATTTTGTTTCCTAACCGAACATGATGTACACGCTACTGAGTGCCAATGAACGGTCGCTTCCTCTTAATTAAAACGCTACGCATCATGCTTGAACCGGGATCGTGAATTAATCTCGTTTACAGGATCGCATTCTGGTGCTAGCGCGTATACCATGTGGGGAGCTTCCGTGATGTACAGACTCTGAGGGGTTCAGGGTTCAGAGTGCCCGAGTGTAGTCATCATGACGAACTATTTGCGACGTGATCGTTCTTCTTTGCGAAGTTCTACAGGATGGATGTTTAACGCTGGCCACTGTGGGAAGTAAAAACACTGGAAATCCGTGTTTTAAATACTGAAAGTCAGGGTCCAAAACACTGACTTTCACGGTTTTGTATCTTTGAATCGCAGTCAACATCAGAACCAGAAGATAAGATGTGCAAAATTTCAGTGTTTAGAACAGTGAAAGTGACATTTTTCAGTGTTTTCAACGCTGAAATCGGATTAACAACAAAGATCGTGATACTCCTCGAAACACTGAAAAACACCATTTGCGATGCTGACAATTATGAATAGGATTACAATAGACTAATTTGAGAGTGATACATGACGCATGGGCAGTCAAAAAAGGTAACTAGCTTGCGTCCAGGATCTGTGAAAAGAGTCCAAAGCGAGAGCATATCGAATAACAAGGTGTATGGCTGCCGTTGCTTCAAACGCAGTAATCGAGTGTCAGGGAAATGATATTGACTCTTGAGCGCATCTAAATTGGTTTGTAGGATCTGCTGGGATGACTCGGATGAGAGCACCGCACAATGTTACGCACTTGCCCTTGTTGAGCGCAGCTGAGCTTGAGCCTACAGTGGAGTTGCCGGAGAATGAGTTCTGGGACAAGCTGGGGGGTGAGAGATATAAAGAGTAGACAATATGGAGCAGGTGATGAAGCTCGTACTGACGAAAACACCACTTGTAGCAAGGAGGACGGTTGCCTTTTTGAAGTATATCAGCGTCGTCTTGAGCTCGCATAAAATGAACGCAAACGTGCGAGAATGTCGCCGAAACTGTCGGAATACAAACAAGAGTGAAAAAAAAACGATGGTAAAAAAGGACTCACTAAGACACTGTGAACAGTGGGCAACGACATCAATCAGCATGGCTCACACTTGATAGAGGATCGACACCCTGTGAACGGCAGACAACGACTTTGATAAGCATGGCTCCAGTCAAAGGAGGATTGACACACTCATTCACTGCGAATGGCAGGCAGCAACTTGGATCAGCGTGGCTTGAGCTCGAAGGAAAACCAACAGACTCACTCACTGCAAATGGCGGGGAACAGCTTGGATCAGCATGGCTTGAGCTCGAGAGAGGATTGACAGACTCACTCACTGTGACTCCCCATCCAGAGCCGAGTCTACAAGCGCTGCGTGCGAGTGAGAATGAGAGTGCGATGAGCAAGAATGAGTGCCGCCTCTCGTCCTTTTCGTGTCTTCGGCGTCCTGGTGTCATCCGCAAGTGTTCGCTCCACGTCAGCACTTGCTGGCGTGCGTTGGGCGTTTGCGCATGGTGCTGGTGTGGGCCTTTGAGTGGCTATATGCGCAGTTATAGTGAGTATATGCATCAAATTTTAACTTGTCCACCTTAAAATAAGAATGAACGATCATTACGCACCAGTTCCCTCCTTTTGAGAGAGGCCCTGGGAGTCCCATAACACAAATTGCTCATTAGGTAGCGCTTACTCCTAGAGGCACTGTTCAAGATGGAGTGTTGGGGAGAAACAGAGTATAGCCTGAGTATATAGTGCTTAGCTGCGAGAGCATGCTCAACTCACCTATTGAACTTCTCAATGGCCTTGTTTTTGGTATAGTGGACGGAGAGGCGACCAATCCAAGGACGATTGCGAAGAAGTCCTTTGTTGACGTGTTGTTTGTATCTATCACGTGACAAATGTGTTTGCCCAAATTGGCAGTGGCATGCCTCAAATGTGCATAGGGTGATTTTCCCTTTTCATATTCCTGCATGACCGGCAGCAAAAGAGTTCCCATTCAAAGGCACGTCCCAAACCATGCACAATACCAGAAAACTTAAACTCCTTTACGAGGATGGAGACCATGTGTAGAGGCCTACGGTCATGGAGAACATCACCAGTACTTTAGACGCTGAGAAAACAAATCAGCGTTTTCACCACTGAAAGTACCGACACTGAAAAGCTTGGTTTGATTAGTCAGTGTATTTAGTACTGATTGACATGATGGTCACGTGAACACTGAAAATAACTGCTGCCTTTTTCAGTGTCTGCGTCATTGATATTTGTCATGTAGTGCTTTTTACATTTATTTTCAGTGTTTTTACTTCCCACAGTGTGGCACTGCCACCACGAGGGGATCTCCCGCACCACTCGGATGTGATCAGGGTTCAGAGCGCTCACCACAAGCTCTCAGAAAGGGCTATTTTTGCCCTCCTAGTTCCAGAACATGCGATAGAGCGGGCCGCAGGTCTAGGTATATAGTGACGGGCAACCCGATGACGAACTCGAAACTTCTGACTCGTCTTAAATGCCTCCATTGCTTGGGCCAATTGCTGATTCTCAAAAATTCAGTCTCGATGCTTCCGGTGTTGCTGGTTTCTTCGGCGGCGAGGAAGCTATCACCGCCATGGCTACTGTGCACCTGTATAGGGGACGTAGATGGCTTGGCTGGTACAACTCCCCCGGCAGCTACACTATAGCCAAGGAGTTCGGCAGGATATCCAAGTCAAGATTTTGGAGCGGTCTTTTTCCTGGCTCCAACCACGATCCAGCTATTGCGTTCAAGTTAGACGTGAAGACTGGCCCGAAATACGTGGCGTCACGCTCAGGAACTGTCATGCAACAGACAGGACACTTTGCACATCTCCTAACGCAGGGGACAGATGATGCAACGCCACTTCCTCTTCCTGCCACACGAACCACTACGAATTCACGCATCTCTATCGTCACTGTCCCTGAAATCGCATATCACAACCTTCTTGTACAGACCATGAGCTACCACCACGCCGTCTTCGCCAGCTTCCCTATCCTGGTCAGCATCAGTACATGCATCTTTTCCGCCTTATTCGCAGACTGGTACTGCTTTGCGATGATCCTCCTCGGGATTATTTCTAGTGGTGTCACGTGTTTCATCATCGGCTCCGGAGTCCTTGATATCGAAACTGTCAAGAACCCAGCTGAGGGCTCCCCTCCAGGAGATGGGATCCTCTTGATGCAGAATGGCGTCATCATCCTGAAGGGAAAGGAAAAGGA